AAGGTGCTAAGATGCTTAAAACATCAAATACAAAATTAAATTCTAAGGAAATAATAATAACGAGCCGACCCACTGCGTATCATACGCCGCTATTTAGTTGTTTTTTTTCTACTTTTCAGTAATTTATAATTTGTGAATTCGACAGTACAAATGCTGCCACTGAAAATATTTGCTTAAAAACAGTAAACCCCCAATCCCCCCCCCCCCCCCACCCCCCACCTCCCCCCCCCCCCCCCCCACGTGAAAGCAGCCTCCTCTTAGTTACCTCCTCTAAGCTTACAATCGTTTCAAACTAAATTATCTGCCCCTAATAGCCGTCACCAAACCCGTAAAATGTAAACAGCGTGACCACAGCTCACCAGACAATGTGGGGATGGGATGGGGGTGGTAGTGATAGTGATAGAGAGAAAGAGAGGGGACTGCAAGGAGGCGCTTGCAGCTTGTTTTCTAACGGCTCCCAGAAGAGAATTATATATATAGATGATTAAGAATTTTAACTGAACTAATAGAGGAAGCATCATTTTAAGCCTCCACTTTACAAATAGATAAGCAGTGTTTATTTCCATGAAAAATAAAACATTGGCAAAAATAAGCGTGTTGCTTATTTCGTGTCACAAAATTGAAATAGAAAGTGTTGAAAATAACTACGACACTGGTAAAGGGCTTCAAGGGGCGTGTACTCCATTATAATGGTGCCTTAAAAATCGATTGCTCGATAGGTGTGTTACAGGTTAGGAGTCGTCCATAAACGACGTCACGCTCTATTGATCGGGGAGGGGGGAGTGAGGTTGAACTACTATGTGTCGTACGGGGTTTGGGAGAGTTCACAATATGTAAGAACACATTTTTGCAATTTATATGTAATCTTAGAAACTGAGTTTCATCCGTTATATTTCATTTCAAAAGACATGTATTGGAAATTGTAATAATAATTGATCAGCCAATATGTTATATAGAAATCGCTCTTTAAGAACATAAAGAAGAATGTTGAGGGGTTTGGTAAGTGGAGACGACATTATCGAGGTTGGGGTCTGGACGTGTTAAGGAGTCTTATATGGATGACTCGTTACGTATAATATTGGGAAACAGTTAAGCTTATTCTTGGGGTTAGTGTTAGATCATTTAGGCCTTATGCATGCATACATAAATAAAAATATGCATATATGTATATATATATATATATATATATATATATATATATATATATATATATATATATATATATATATATATATATGTATATATATATATATATATATATATATATATATATATATATATATATATATATATATATATATATATATATATATATATATATATATATATTAATTTGTGTGTGTGAATAAAATTTACAACATATACATTTATGGGACTTTATTCTATCCACTTCCCATCTTGTCAGGACTGAGCTGGGTGACCTGTATACAGCGACCATTTTCCCACTGTTTTTTTGTTTCTAGCCATGGGTTAATGTAAATTTTTGGCTTCATATTTCAAGATGGGGCACGGGGCAACAGCTAAATAAGCCATCAAAAGAAACAGAGTTGCATCCCCTAATGATTGTTTTCATTAAGTTTTTATGCCCTTTTAAATTTCTTCATTCCATTACTAAATGTACACTTTATCATAATTTCTTTGAAACTATATAAAACTACAAAATAATATTTAAAAAAAATTTAAAACCATAACATATAAACCTATGGGACTTACTAAACTTATAAAGCATGTTAACCAATGTGAATGAATTAAACTTTTTAATATGTAAACCAATGGGAATTAATTCAACATTCAATCAAGCTATTAACTGCAGTAGTGCTGTATCAAGTTATGTTTGGCTTCATATTTCAAGATGGGCATGGGGCAACAGCTAAGTAAGCCATCAAAAGAAACAGAGTTGCATCCCATAATGATTGTTTTCATTTGGTTTTTATGCCCTTATACATTTCTTCATTCCATTACTAAATGTACACTATATCATAATTTTTTTGAAACTATATAAAACTACACAAAAAATATTTTTTTTGAAATTTAAAAACATAACATACAAACATATGGGATTTAAAATTATAAACTTATATTAAACTTATATAGTGTATAAACCAATGGGAATCAATTAAACTTTTAGACAAATAAGCTAATGGTTATTAACATTCAATCAAGGTATTAACTACAGTAGTGCTGTATTAAGCTGCTTTGACATTTCTATTTTTCTTAGAACAGGAAAGTAATAGAATTTTTGAAATCAAAATAAACACATCCAAAGTGAAAGGTTATTTATTAAATTTATTTATTTAATTTGTATGATCACAGTGTAATTGTTTTTTAAAGTTAAGCTTGATAATCATGGAGAATAAATCTAAACACAATCCAGATATTTTAGGTAAAAACAATATTCTGATTGTAAAATCAGCAAAAACATCAACATGGTTGATTGCCCAAAACAATTTAAAAATGTAGCTTTGGGTGCAAATACCTTTGCCCCCCCCCCCCCTCCGATTGCAGACATTGGTGAAAACATTGTGACTCAAATAGCGAAAAATACAACCACTTTTCACCATTTTTTTTTAAGTTGCAATGGATGAGTCGCTGGACAGCTGTTCCACCTCTCAACTGTTTGTGTTCATTATGGGTGTAGATGAAAACATGAACATAACACAAGAGCTGGCTTCCCTACATAATATGTATGGCGCTGTTACAGGAGAGGATATATTCAATGAGTTAAAGAAAACATTTGCTGATTATAACTTAGACTGGACTAACCTCAGTTACCTGACTGTTGATGTGGAAAAGTATATTAGTGGCATAGAGAAAGGCTTGGTTGGACAAGCGAATGAGAAAAATATTCTACAACCAATGCTCCTGCACTCTATTATTATTCATCAGCAAGCTTTGAGCGCTAAATATATGGACATTAGCAGTGTACTGAATCCTGTGGTAAAGATGGCGAATTTTATAAGGTCTCATGGGCTCAACCATAGATATAGAATAAGTGAAGAATAATTTGAATACCACTGCTACTTATTTAAATCTATTTCTGTAATATATATTTGTGTAATATATATTTGTGTAATATATATGTATGTTTAGAACAGTCATCTAAAAACTGACGCTATGTTCACTCTGAGTTGGTTATCTCCCCCCCCCCCACACACACACACCACCTCACCACCACAATTGTGTAGAGCAACATTAATATCACACCTAGGTAAACACTGGGTTGGATAATTGACCTAAAGTGACCGGACAGAGGTGAATGAAGTTGAACCCCCCTCCCCCCCCCCCCCCCCCAACCCACCCCGAACTGATCTGTTAAGTACATGTAGAAAAAACGCGTAATGATGTACCAAAGTACCATGCCGCCAGAAAATTAGCTTTTTAAACGTAAAACTCTGTGAAAATTGTTTTTGCAATTACTAGTAAAAAGGTGTGTGATCAATGCAGTGATCTAACCCATACCTATAACTATGTTAAAAATGATCTTTAAAGACTATAAAGAAGCAGTAGTTAATTAAAAATATATGATCTGACCTAAAAGACCAGTAGTTAGTTAAATGTAGGCTGTTATTCTGGATGTTGTTCTATTATATCGAAAAGCGTGGTTTTATACCGACTATGATTTTAAAAACTTTCATTATGCTGTAATACTTTAGCAATTATGATGACGATATATTAAATTCAGATTATAGACAAAAACATGTTGTAAACAGGAATAATGTTAAACTATTTCATTATATTCTAAAGTAATTATTTATTTGTTTTGACATTTATAATTAAATGTGTAGATACATACATATTTATATATTTATATTAAGAGAGTGATTATTTCCCCTATTTCACTTGTCTTAAATAATTTCCCAGGAATTATTTTGTAAAAAATTTTTTACAAGAATTACAAAACAGGTTGTGTTGCGTTCATTGTTTTTGGTTGTAGTGTGTGTATATTTTTTGCTTAGATTGATACAATTTTTGTTTTGTCGGCCTACATTGTGTGTTTTTTCTTATTTCTTCATAGTGCTACTTACAATTTCTTTTACATCATAGCGAAGTAATGACATACAGCTAGTAATTATAATATATATATATTTATATATATATATATATATATATATATATATATATATATATATATATATATATATATATAATACACGTATAGAGAACGTGTTACAAAATTCGGCGCCTTTTTTTGCTCTTTTCCCTCCCCCTACAACGAAAACCTGGATACGCCTCTGCCGACAATGTTTCTTTCAGATTTTTTTCCCTTGGGGGGGGGGGGGGGGCACTTGAAATTTATATATATTTTTATATAAATTATATTTTGTTAAAATATTTTTATGTTATTTTTGTTAAAGCTGTTAATGAATTGTATATAAAACAAAAATAAAACTATGAAATAGACTTCTGAATAAAATTATAAAGTTAAATTATGTCTAACATAAACAAATAAGTACAACTAACCAAATTATATTTTAAATAAAAATTTAATATAATAATTTATTTAATATATAATTTATTTTATTTAGAATTATAAATGTTTTTTGTTTGTTTTTTTAAACTGCCCTAACCAACAATCATCATGAAATGACCATCCCTAACGTACTTTAGACCCGAGCATATGAGGCTCGATAGATGGGGAAAGCAACCCATCTAGAATAGAAACTCCAAAATCAAACAACTGTTGATTTATGTTTGCTCTTTGGTAGAAAAAAAAAGCTATGGAAGCGAGTCCAGAAAGAAAAGCTGGTTAAAATCAGAATCAAAGCGCCACGTGACGCAAAACATGTTGATACGTGATACTTGATTGTGTTGGAGGAAATCTCATCCAACATGACAAATAAGTATTTTAAAAAATTAAAAAAAGATTAACATTAGATATATTAATTATCAACAGATAACAAGAACACTTCTAATAACTTTTAGATAAATGTCATTTCCAAATTTCAACATCGTATTATAGAAAACCCCAACCTCCAGCATCACATCGAAGCCAGTTCAAACTACAGCCTTAAAAAACAACCGTACGGCCAGAATCTCAACAAAGGTCGCGGGTTCTCCAATTTTTCATATTCCTCCACATCAAAACACACGGGGATCTTGGACCATTTTTTCCTTGCTAGCCTGGCTATGGGGGTTCTAAACATCAGGGCGTCCTGCAGGTCAAAGGGCAGTTCTAGACTTTGGATCCGCTGCGTTCTGTTAGCACCGGAACCAAGGCGAGTGGACACGGCGATGAAGGCCAGTTTGACCAACGGCCACGGGTTGCAAGCTGCAAGTTTAATTGTTGGGATATTGACACGGGGATGTTTGCTAACAGCCCGCATTAAGGAAAGATCATTGTTCATTAGGTAACAGTTTGAAATCAGGTACTTTATAGCGTCTACTCTAAGATTCGTCATGGCCAGACAAAACAGGGTTTCGTGATTTTGAGGTTTGTACATGTAGCCGTTACTCACGCACAACCGCATGTGTTCAAATCTGTTGAAGTCGGAGATTTTGTCATTGAAAGTTAAAATACCACACCGAGAAAACAAGCTCTCAAATATCCGCTGGTCAATGTTTAAACAAGAATTGATTTTGAGATTTAACAGAATTTCAGCGTTGAATTTACTTGCATTTACATTATTTAAGGTATTGCTTGGAAATATTCCGTGAATATTGTTAAAGGCATAATACAAAGCCGTCCTGTGCTTGTTGTCCTCTATGTTTATGTTGATATTCTCCGCGGTGTGTAACTGTGAACTGGTGTGAAACATTTCGTATTTGGCTGTGTACATTAAAGCCGTTTTACCTTTCTTGTCTTGCATGTTTACGTTAGCGCCAGCAGCCAACAAGAGCGCTTCAATCCTAGAAAAACTTGTTGACTGTGTTGCTGCGTTGTGGATTAGGGCAGTTTTTCCATCGTTGTCCTGTACGTTAACATCAGCTCCTGAAGTTATCAACAGGTTAATTATATCTGGTTGTGACAGTTTCACCATTTGTAAAAGATGTGTTTCTCCATGGTTGTTTTGTACGTTCACGTTAGCGCCAGCTTTTAACAAGAGCTCTTCAATCCTAGAACATGATGGAGAATGTGTTGCAGCGTTGAGCATTAAGGCAGAGTTTCCTTCTTTGTCTTGTACGTTAACATCAACTCCAGATTGTATCAGCAAATCGACGATTTCTGGACGTGCAAGCTTAACTGCGTGGATTAGAAATGTTTCTCCTTTTGTGTTCCTGACATTGATGTCCGCACCCGCGAGTATTAAAGACTCCAGGCTCTTCACGGACCTCTTGGAAATGGCGTGCTGTAGTGCAGCTAACCCTAAATTAGTTTTATATATAGCTTTGGCGCCATGCTTCAGTAATATATTAATTATTTCAATGTTCCCTTGCTCTACGGCTAACATTAACGGCGTTTGGCCGCGTTTATTTTGTATATTTACATTGGAATTGGATTGGACCAGTAAACTAATTAAAGGAAAACCTTGATCAGAGGTTACTGCGTGTAGCAGAAGCGTTTCCCCGTGTTTATTGAAAACATTGGGATCCGCCCCTGCTTGTAATAATATCTCCACGATATTTGTGTTGTGTAAACCAATTTGTAAAGCCGTGCTTTTATTACCATCTGTCATATTTACATCAGCGCCAGCTTGAGTTAACAATTTTACTAAAGAAACACTACCTCTGTCGGCTGCAATGTGTAAAACAGTCTGCATTCTCCTGTTGACGACATTGACAAAATGTGTTCCGTGTACCGCCATTTTTCCAGTCAGATCAATGTCTCCTTTAAGTGTTGCCATATCAATTTTTGTTCTAACAATCAATTCTGCAATATCATTTCGCTTTTTTGTTAAAGCATGATGCAGGATGGAGCCATCATTGAAATAAACTGTATCCAACGCGGCCCCGGCTTCTACGAGAAGCTGCACGGCTTCACAGCTAACGAGTATCACGGCTTCATACAGAGCACTGACACGTCTGCTGTTTAGACAATCGACGTCTGCTCCGTGCTGCACCAAATGACGTAGCAGGTCCATATTGCCAGCTTTAACCGCCATCATCAACGCCGTCTCCCCCTGGGCGTTTACAGCTTCAAGCCCCGCCCCGTTACTTATAAGAAGTTCCCACATTTTTGTGTCGTTCTTCTCAATGGAAATAAAAAGGGCGTTCATTCCATTTACTGTAACATCTACATCTGCTTTGTATTGTAGAAATAATTTCATCAGCTCAACATTTCCTGTTTCCGCCACACGGATTGGATTTGGACCACATTTCCTTCCGTATAAGTTAACATCGGCCCCTTTTCTTAACAAGTTTATTATCATATCCGTTTCGTTTCTAATCATAGCAATATTCAACGGCGTCGCTCCTACGACGTTGGCTATATTGACGTCAGCGTTGCCTTCAATCAAAACATTGGCCAGATTAAGATGATTTTCTACTAGAGATCTGAAAAGCAAGGACCTTCCACGACTATCTTTTATGTTAGGATCGGCACCTTTTTGAAGAAGTAAAGGAATAAATTTCACAATTTTGCCATCGTCGTTTTCTACGTCGTCTAAATCGAAAGAGGTTACATTTAAACAAGCTTGCGACAAGGCCGTCCGTCCATAAAAATCTTTGCTGTCCAAGTAGACCCCAGCATGAATTAAACACTCGGCAATGTCCGTGTGCTGGGAATTGATGGCACGCTGCAGGACTGTCTGGCCAAACTTGTCCAGTTTATCTAAATCCGCCCCACATTTGACCAGAGCCTGCACCGTTTCAAGATCTCCTTCCTCGACCGCGAGATACAACGCCGAACTTTCCCAGTCCTTCATGACGTCGGAATTCATTCTCAAGGTACACAATATCTTCTAAAAACCCATTCTCGCGTGCGATATTTAAAAAAGTTCCAGATTCGTTACAATTCAACGCGCGCTCCTAGACCGACTAAAGTCTTAACAACATCGACGTATTTCTTCGCGCCTGCCAAAGACAAGGCGGTAAATTTACCGTCTGGGTCTTTACTTATTTCTAAATCCGCGCCGTGTCGTGTTAACATCGTGACGGCCGTGGGGTTTTGTTCTCTGACGGCGATCATCAGCGGCGTCTCCCCAGCGCTGTTTTGTTCGTTGATGCGGCTCTTGTCTATGGCGTCCAGGGTGTTGTTACAAGCTGCGGTGTAGATGGACTTCACATAGGTGTCGTCTGCCGACAGAAAGGGAGATACCACATCAGGGTTTAAAACAACTAGTTTAAGGTTTTTAAACTGAGTTTTGCTGCCTTGATCATCATATTGGAATGGGGAATCGGAAAGTACAGTATCGAATGAAGCTTTGTCTCGCATCTGATCATCTGAAGAAGAATCTAGCACAGCATTTTCTAAAGTATATTTTTGAATAGGATCTTTTGTAAATGTCGTTACCATTGTAAACCTTTGAGATAGAGTAAGCTTGGTTTCATTTGTGGGGGATTTTCGTTCCCTAACCTCTGACTTATACTCTAGTATGATATCGTTTTCTGTATCAGCTTTAGAGCATGGCGTGTTGAAAATTTGT